GCTGTGAACCAGTGGGAATTGTGAAAACAACATCTCAGGAGGAATCCTGCTGGCATTCTGCAGATCAGTGCCTGGGGGAGGCCTGAGAAAGGCTGCAATGGGCTGGGAACTGGCACAGGGAAAGGAGGGGCAAGGAGGGAACTGGAACCAACCTCCCACCCCTCAGCAAAAGCTGAGCACAAGGAAATTCATGGGAAGGTTATCTCAGAGCACACAGCACCCCCTGAGCACAGAATCCACACTGGGAGAGCCTGAGAAAGGCTGCAATGGCTCACAGCACTGGGAATTGTCACAGGGACAGGAAGGGCAAGGAGGGAACTGGAACCAATCTCCCATCTCTCAGCAAAAGCTGAGCATGAGTGCCACAGGGAATTCATGGGAGAGTTAGCCCAGGGCACACAGCAGCACCTGGGCACAGAATCCACACTGGGATTGACTTGAGAAAGGCTGCAATGGCTCACAGGGTGGGAACTGTCACAGGGACAGGAGGGGCAAGGAGGGAACTGGAACCAATCTCCCATCTCTCAGCAAAAGCTGAGCATGAGTGCCACAAGGAATTCATGGGAGAGTTAGCCCAGGGCACACAGCAGCACCTGAGCACAGAACCCACACTGGGGGAGGCCTGAGAAAGGCTGCAATGGCTCACAGGGTGGGAACTGTCACAGGTACGGGAAGGGCAAGGAGGGAACTGGAACCAATCTCCCACCCCTCACAAAAGCTGAGCATGAGAGAATTCATGGCACAGCTACCCCAGGGCACACAGCACCCCCTGGGCACAGAACCCACACTGGGGGAGGCCTGGGAAAGGCTGCAATGGGCTGGGAGCTGTCACAGGTACACCAAGGGCAAGGTGGGAACTGGAAGAGAAAGGCTGCAATGGCTCACAGGGTGGGAACTGTCACAGGTACACCAAGGGCAAGGAGGGAACTGGAACCAACCTCCCATCTCTCAGCAAAAGCTGAGCATGAGTGCCACAGGGAATTCATGGCACAGCCACCCCAGGGCACACAGCACCCCCTGGGCACAGAATCCACACTGGGGAAGGCCTGAGAAAGGCTGCAATGGGCTGGGAGCTGTCACAGGGACAGCAAGGGCAAGGTGGGAACTGGAAGAGAAAGGCTGCAATGGCTCACAGGGTGGGAACTGTCACAGGTACGGGAAGGCAAGGTGGGAACTGGAACCAACCTCCCACACCTCAGCAAAAGCTGAGCATGAGTGCCACAAGGAATTCATGGGAGAGCTACCCCAGGGCACACAGCACCCCCTGAGCACAGAACCCACACTGGGGGAGGGCCTGGGAAAGGCTGCAATGGGCTGGGAACTGTCACAGGTACACGAAGGGCAAGGAGGGAACTGGAACCAATCTCCCATCCCTCAGCAAAAGCTGAGTACGAGGGAATTTATGGGAGAGTTAGCCCAGGGCACACAGCACCCCCTGAGCACAGAACCCACACTGGGGGAGGCCTGGGAAAGGCTGCAATGGCTCACAGGGTGGGAACTGGAAGAGAAAGGCTGCAATGGCTCACAGGGTGGGAACTGTCACAGGGACAGGAGGGGCAAAGTGGGAACTGGAACCAATCTCCCATCTCTCAGCAAAAGCTGAGCACAAGAGAATTCATGGCACAGCTACCCCAGGGCACAGAGCACCCCCTGAGCACAGAACCCACACTGGGATTGACTTGAGAAAGGCTGCAATGGGCTGGGAACTGTCACAGGTACGGGAAAGGCAAGGTGGGAATTGGAACCAATCTCCCACCTCTCAGCAAAAGCTGAGCATGAGTGCCACAAGGGATTCATGGCACAGCTACCCCAGGGCACACAGCAGCACCTGATCACAGAACCCACACTGGGATTGACTTGAGAAAGGCTGCAATGGCTCACAGGGTGGGAACTGTCACAGGGACAGCAAGGGCAAGGTGGGAACTGGAACCAATCTCCCACACCTCAGCAAAAGCTGAGCATGAGTGCCACAAGGAATTCATGGGAGAGTTAGCCCAGGGCACACAGCACCCCCTGATCACAGAACCCACACTGGGGGAGGGCCTGAGAAAGGGCTGCAATGGGCTGGGAACTGTCACAGGTACAGCAAGGGCAAGGTGGGAACTGGAAGAGAAAGGCTGCAATGGCTCACAGCACTGGGAGTTGTCACAGGTACACCAAGGGCAAGGAGGGAACTGGAACCAACCTCCCACCCCTCAGCAAAAGCTGAGCATGAGTGCCACAAGGAATTCATGGCACAGCCACCCCAGGGCACACAGCACCCCCTGAGCACAGAACCCACATTGGGGGAGGCCTGGGAAAGGCTGCAATGGCTCACAGGGTGGGAACTGTCACAGGTACGGGAAGGCAAGGAAGGAACTGGAACCAATCTCCCATTTCTCAGCAAAAGCTGAGCACAAGGGAATTCATGGCACAGCTACCCCAGGGCACACAGCAGCATCTGATCACAGAATCCACACTGGGATTGACTTGAGAAAGGCTGCAATGGTTCACAGGGCTGGGAGCTGTCACAGGTACAAGAAGGGCAAGGTGGGAACTGGAAGAGAAAGGCTGCAATGGCTCACAGGGTGGGAACTGTCACAGGGACAGGAGGGGCAA